CCTCCTCCTCCTCCTCCTCCTCCTCCTCCTCCTCCTCCTCCTCCTCCTCCTCCTCCTCCTCCCTCTGCATACCGAGATGCCTGAGGAGGCGTCCAGGCTGTCGAACCACTTGAAGACCTCGAGGATTTTCTTGGGCCCGTCGACGATCACCGACAGCCGCACCTGCCCCAGTCGTCATGCTCGCAGCCCCCGCAGCTTCAGGTGGCTCACGGGGTCGAGGATGTAGCCGCTGTAGGGCCAAACGCACTGCAGCTGAGGGTCTGCATACTTGAGGAGCTTCTGACTGATCCTCGCCTTTGACTTGACGGGAGCGAAGCAGATCTCAACCCTCCTCACCCCGTCCTCGAACTGACAGTCCACCGAGATCTTGCGCTGCAGCAGGTCGTTGCCGTACTCCTCGAAGTCAGCGCAGAAGGTGCTGTGGTCGGAGGAGGAGGGGATCAGCTCTTCGCTCGCCCCCTGCGACTCCTTGTCCAGGCTCTCCCTCCCCGAGGGCGACTCGTGGGACTGCACGACCTGCAGGACCTTCTTCTGGAAGGCGTGATTCATCAGCTTCGCCCGCAAGTGCAGCTGCGCCACAAACACTTCCTCGTTGTGTACGCGGATGCCTGTGGGGGAGATCTGAATCATCTTGATCTCGTCCTGGTAGGAGGCGTCGCGCGAGTCCTCCTCGTGCAGGCGGATGGCGAGCACCTGCAGCAGTCAGTCTCCTCTACCCCCCAAGCTCTTCCTCACCTCAGCATCCGATTGCTTGTAGGGAGAGAACCTCCTGGGCGGCTCCTGCGAGTCCCGGAAGGAGGTCAAGACGTGGCCTGCTTCCTCCTTCTTCATCTCGTCGAAGCGATCTTGGCAGTCTCGCCCCAGCAGCGCCATGTGCTTGGCGATGGCAACCTTGAGCTTGGCAAAGAGATTGAGCTCCTCGTCGTTCCACAGGTTGATCCTCGTCGTCTTGTCCAGGAAGTAGCCGAACCTCGCCTCGAACTCGTCGCTCTCCTCAATCGTCGGGTCACACGCAGAGCTCCCGGGCGACAGCATCGCTTCGCACGTGCTGATCACGAAGTCGCCCAGGCGGTGGTAGCGCTCTTGCTGCGAGGTGGCGAAGCTGCCGGCGGCTTGGTTGACGTCATGGAAGCTGGAGTGAACCTCTCCGATGAGAACGCGGTGAGACTCGGCAAAGGGGAGGCTGACAGACGCCTGATTCCTCAACCAGTTGCAGAAACCGTTGACGTGCTTCGTCTCGAACTCCTTCATCAGCGCGAACCTGGCGGTGTTGACAAGGAAGCGATAGTCGATGACCTTCATGCGGCCCTTTGACAACCTGTACCTCCTGGTGTTCGCCTCCCTGCTCGTGAGAAACCCGTCCTTGATCGTGATCTTCAACTCCGACCGGATCTTGTTGATCATCTTGATCACCTCCCCGTCCTCGTCCTCCGTCCGCACTGGTCTGCACAGGTAGCACCAGAGGAGCATGGCGATTGCGAAGACAACAAGGAGGGAGAGGCAGACAGACAGCAGAACCTTTAGCAGGAGCTGAGAAGACGACTGGTTCGCTGACTTGCACACGGGCATCACGTCCCTTCCGCTAGGCCCCGGCCACGTCACCGCCACGTCCAGCCAGTCAGTCGGCTGGTCCAACATGACCAAGTGGGTGATACTCCCGGCCTCCCACCGTGCGATGGAGACGGTCGCGTTGGCCTGCTGGTTGACGAGGTCATACCTGCGCGTCAGGGTCAGCAAGGCGGACAAGGAGAGTCAGTCTCCTACTTGGCGTAGCTCGGGTCGAGGTTCTTGTCAAAGCTGACCTTCCCTGAAGCGCCTTCGAACGTCAGGGCCCCTATGGTCTCGACAACGGCGGAGACGTTGAAGATGGAGACTCCGTTACGGATCATGGCGTCGAACGCGCGGGCTATGGCAAAGGTGGCGTCGTAGGAGAGGACGAGGTAGGGGTTGGTCAGCAGCTTGTCGACCCCCGGGTACTCGGAGGGGCTCAGGCTCTCCCACAAGGTTTGCAACCTGTTGAAGTGAGAGTTGGTGTGGTTGAACCCAATCTTCATCCCCAGATAGCCGTAGGGCAGCCCCGAGCTGATGGACGTGACCGACTCGCTCCCCATCCACACGATGTTGCCGGTAGCCCCGATGGTGTCGGCAGCCTGAAAGATCTCCAGGGCGTCGTGGTCGTGCATGGCCAGCACGAAGAGCCGCGAGTTGCTGCAGTTCTCGTAGATGGTCTTGATCAGCGCCTGCGTCCCCGAGGGATTGTTGAACTCCCAGAAGTGAACCTGCTCCACCTCGATGTTCAGCTCCTTGCTCCGCTGCAGGAACGTCCGTGCCAGCCCCGTGCAGTAGACGTCAACGCAGCCGATCAGCTGACATTTCGTCCACTTGAAATGTGCCAGGACGTCAGCGATGGCTCGACCCTGCAGGTCGTCGGGGGGGCAAGTGCGCGCGAAGTTGGGGTAGAGCTGCTTGTTCGAGAGGTCGGCGCTGGTGGCGCTGAAGCTCACCTCGACCATCCCCAGACTGTTGAGGGAGGGCAAGACGAGGATGGATTCAGAGCTGAAGCCTGGGCCAACAACCGCCGTCACCCCCTTGGAGTGAAGATCCTCGGCGATGGCAGCGAGAGCCTCCTGCTTCACAATGTTGAACTGAGCCGCCGACAGGAAACCGTTCTGAGAGATCGCGCGAACAGCCGAAGTGTCGCCGATGACCATGCTGACGGTGATCCCTGGCAGCAGAGTAGGATCTTGATTGATCATCATGGTCGCTATCCGTGCTGCCGATGCGGCGTCCTCGTCCTTGTACCCGGGGTTCCAGTTCTCCACGAACATCCCTCCCAGGACGATCCCTTGGCAGACCCCCAGAGCACCATCTCTTGCAAGATTCAAGTTCTCCAACGAGCTGAATCCTCCTGCGCTGCTCCATTTCCCAACGATGGAGAAGTTTCGGGCAACAGATTGATAGACCACGTCATACCTGCCCACTTTGGGCCCCAAGTTGGAGGCGAAGGAGACGTAACCCGAAGCGCCTTCGAACTTGACGTCAAGCAGGGCGTTCTCCAGAGCTGAGGTGTTGTAGATCGACTCGTTTCGCTCGATCATGGCCTGGAAGGCGTAAGCTAGAGCGAACACGGCATCGTAAGCCAGAGGCAGATAAGAGTAGCTCCGCCACATGCTTTGGTCTGGCATGCTCACGTTACCATAGGCTGCGCTAGAGAACTGGATGGGCTTGCGAGACCACAACGTCTTGAGGTCGCTGATGCTCTGGCTGCTTTCATTCCAAGCCATTCTCAGCCCGATGTAGTTGCCAGGCAACTCTGAAGGAAGCAAGCTGCTCACTCCCTCGCTTCCTATCCATACCAGTCTATCCAGCAGGTTCAGTTGCTTCGCCGCAGCAAACACAACCTTAGCTTGCACGTCCGTCATGAGAAGCACAAAGACGTTAGGAGCTACACAGTCAGCAACTATCGCCTGCAAGTTTGCCGCCACAGACGTCTGATCTACATAGCTCCACACATTTTGAGTGAAGCGAATTCCCTTCGCTTTGGCGTGCTGCACGAAAACGCTGGTGAGGCCGGCGCAATAGACGTCTGCACAGCTCAGGATCTGGCAAGACTTGAACTTCAACGATTGCATCAGGTCCGCGATCGCCCAGCCCTGGTACGAGTCAGGAGGACAAATCCTGGCGTAGTCCGGGAATCTTGTTCGATTGGAGAACACAGGACTTGTAGCGCTTACAAGGACACTGAGAAGATCCTGTTGATACAGCCAGGGGCTCAAGCTGACGGCCTCTGAGCTGTAGCCGGGGCCGATCAGAGCAGCAAACTTCTGAGCGTGCGTGTAGTCCAGGGCATCCACCATGGAGCCCTCCAGCAGTTGGTTGAAACTGGAAGGCGAGATGAGGACGTTGGGGCTCATCGACCGCGTGATGGACATGTCGGCGATGTACAGTTTCAGTCGGCTGCCATGCAGGAAGTTCCTCTCGTTGATGATCTCAACGGCTGCTTGCGCTGCAGCTGCGATGTACCGCTCCCAGTAGGACGAGGACCATTCGACTACGAACAGTCCCCCTATCGATATCTCACTTGGCACGCTGGCACCTTTGACAAGAGTCAAGAGGCAGAGGAGGCAACAGAATTTCAAGAAATTGTGGAGTCTCCTCGTTGAGCTGCTGTCACGGTCGGGCGTGCGTTGGCTTCTCCCAGATATTTCGCGTATACCTGCCGTAACAGCACCGGGGAAACGACCACCGAAATGTTCCGATCTCATCCCCCGAGGTGATCTCCAGGATCGATAATACCAGACAGACTCAGCAAAGCGAAGTGTGACAGGGAGTCACGTGTCTCCTCATTCTATAGCATGTTGACATGGTTTTGCCTGTCAGGGTCGGAGATTCGTCGGGACAGGCCGATACACATGCGTTGAACGTTATCACTCATACCTCTCGGCATGTCCTGTGGGTCCAACAACCTTGGCCGCCCTCTGTCGCCCTTCACTTCACTTCACTTCCTCTCACTTCCCTCCCCTTCGCTTCCCCTCCCGTCAAACCTTGATGCCTGCCGCACCGATGTGATCATGACCAACCAGCCACCCACCCTCTATCCACCTATATCAACCACCCCCTCTGAGTAACAATAAACCCAGAACCGATCGCCTACCCACCCTTGCGATCTCCACTACCCCTACCCCTCTCACTCGAAATCAGTCCTCCTACCCGTTGAATCATAATCATATCCACGTTTGGACTACCCCACCCCCTGATGATACAGTTTCACTGCAGGACATCTAGAATCTATCAAAGTACCCCCTTGTTTATTAATAAACTACCCACCTATCTGTACAAAAAGCTTTGATCCACGACCCATCTAAAACCATGTACCCCCTACCCCCTGAAATACCAACATTCACCCCTACCCCTTCCCCTTGAGGAACACCCCTCGTTTCTTGATGACACACGAAACCCCCTGATCTTGCAGATAATGTACTCTTACATGTATTTTAAAGGGGGTTCTAAAACTTTTTAAAGGGGCTAGGCTTTGCGATCCCTTCAAATACGGGGTACTGTGTACTACCCTAACCCCCTCCAGACCTATTGATTGTCCCTACCCTCTTAAATGGACTACCCCGACCCTCAATTCCCACTTTCCCTTCGGTCTTGAGCGTCATATAAAACATTTTAAAGGAATGGTATGAGGGTGATGATTGGATCAATGAGGGCGATGACAAATCTTGCAGTGAATTGTTTTGTATGTTTTTTTAATTTGTACCAATAAAGAATATTGTACGGTCAAAGGTTTTTGATCACCGTACAATTGTACCAATAAAGAATATTGTACGGTCAAAGGTTTTTGATCACCGTACAATTGTACCAATAAAGAATATTGTACGGTCAAAAGTTTTTGATCCCGGTACAACAAAAAGTACCAAGTTCGGGAGTTCCGGCGCGCGTGACCGTCGGACCGTCTCAGTCACTGCCGGCTCTCCGGACGGGCCCGCCCGGCACGCCGGGAGCAGTGACGTTGTGGTTTGTAACGGTTTCTAACGGACTTACCCAAGGAAGTGATGGCAACGGCGAGAATGACTGGTGGTTTTGATATGTCTGAAGGGGGTGGGGGTAATGGCGCTGCATGTGGATCATGTGTGCGGAAGAGGGAACAGAGCGAGGGAGGAAGGAGAGGGAGGAGGGGGGGGGAAGGAAGGACGGAGGGAGGAGGAGGAGCAGGAGCAGGAGCAGGAGCAGGAGCAGGAGCAGGAGAATGGTAAGAAGGACGGAAATCAAGAACAGAACAACAGAGGAACGAGGCGAGCAGATACGACGAGCATCAGGAAGTTGGAGTTCATAGTTTGAGCTCTTCGTGGTACTTTGTTACATCTATGGCATGAGATTGCAATCTTTACAGTGACGACATGAAAGTTCCTAGCGCCTTGCTCAAGAGCCATGCATGGCTCAGCCTCAGAGGATCGCGAGGGGGGCCAGTAGGTTGTGTTAGAAGGGGACCTTGAGCTGATTGAGGAGGCAGTGCAGAGGAGGGACAGGGGTTTGAGGGAGGCAGAGAGACGTGGGGGCTGCCCATGCCCGTGGAAGGTCTGAGTGTGCAGATGAGGTTGTTCAACTTGAAGGCGTGTGTGAGATTATTGTCGTGAGCACAGTTGAGGACGAGACTGGCTGTTGTACTGTTGCAACTTCATCAGCCTCCGAGCAGCAGATACTTGCAGACAGCCTCCACGAGTGACACCTTTGTGCCTCCTCCAGGGCCTGGATTTCCGTCCAAGTTCTCACTGCCGTTGTTCCCTCCTGAACAGACCTCGAAGGTACCAACGCTGCCAGCTCTGCGAGCCTGTCCCTTACCCATGTCTGTGAAGGGATGATCGCTAGTGCTGCTTCTTGGTTCCTGAAGCTTAATGCCCTCCTCTTCATCCTCTACATCTCCTACACGATCCGTCTGCATGCTGTCCAAGTGTACGGGAAGGTAATTCATGAGTTCGACCCTTGGTTCAACTACCGAGCTACCGACTACCTGGTGAACGAGATCAATGCGCGAGGATTCTGGGAGGGATCTCGGTCCTTCTTCAACTGGTATGACGACAAGGTCTGGTATCCCCTTGGCAGGCCTGTCGGCACGACCATCTACTGCGGCCTGCAGTTCACCTCCGCCTTCATCTACTTCGTGTTGGAGGCTATCGGTCAGCCAATGTCGCTCAATGACGTCTGCGTCTACGTCCCTTCCTGGTTCGCGTCCTTCTCCTGCCTGTTTGTCTTCGGCATGGCATGGGAAGTCTCGCGCTCCTACAACTCCGCGCTTGCTGCGGCCTTCTTCATGGCCATCTCCCCTGCTCACTTGATGCGATCGGTGGCAGGAGGGTACGACAACGAGGGGATTGCTGTGGCTGCGATCTGTGGGACCTTCTACTTCTGGGTGCGATCGCTGAGGGACAGCTCGTCGTGGTGGTATGGAGTTGTGACGGGCCTCATGTACATCTACATGGTGGCGGCATGGGGAGGTTACATCTTCGTGCTCAACATGATCGGAGTCCATGCTGCCGTGCTGATCATGAGCGGTCGCTACTCGCAGAACCTGTGGAAGTCCTACTCCATCTTCTACGTCATGGGCACCCTCGGAGCCATCCAGTTCCCCGTCGTCGGGTACGCTCCCCTCAAGTCGCTGGAGCAGCTGGGCCCTCTCTTCGTGTTCTTCTGGCTGCAGCTCATGGAGGTCTGCAAGCGCTACGAGCGGGCGCATCCGGACATGGGCGAGCGTCGCATCCGAGACTACTACATGCTCGTCTTCGGAGGAGCGATGGTGGCCGGGCTTGTGGGGATCATGATCTTCATGCCCCGTGGCTACCTCGGGCCCATCTCTGCTCGCGTGCGGGGACTCTTTGTGCAGCACACGAGGACGGGAAATCCGCTGGTCGACTCGGTCGCAGAGCACCAGGCGACCAGGGATGAGATGTACTACCAGTACTTCCACATCGTGTGCTACCTGGCCCCCATCGGCTTCGTGTCCATGTTCTTCAACTTGACCGACCAGAAGCTGTTCGTCATCACCTACACTGCCATCTCCATGTACTTCTCCCGCAAGATGATCCGCCTCATCCTCATCCTCGCTCCTGCCTCCTCCGTCGTCGCCGGGGTGGCGCTGGAGCTCGTCATCACCTGGAGCATCTCTCAGCACCTGGAGGACCTGGAGGAGCCGGCGGACCCGGTCACGGCCAAGTCAGCGGCAGCCAAGAACGTCAAGAAAGCTCAGGGGAAGAAGGGGAAGAAGGGGGGAGAGCTCACGAGCCATCCCTTCTTCCAGGAGCTGAACGAGATCTACAGCGAGAACCTGATGCTCCGCAAGGTGCTGGCGGGGGTCTGGCTCTTCATGACCCTCTCCGGCCTCCTCTACTACTGGGTCCACTGCCACCGCATGGCCGAGAACCTCTCGAGCCCCTCCATCATGCTCATGGCGAGGTCCAAGACCGGAGAGCCCGTCATCATCGACGACTTCCGCGAGTCCTACTGGTGGCTGCGAGACAACACGCCCCAAGACTCCCGCGTCCTCTCCTGGTGGGACTACGGCTACCAGATCAACGGCATCGCCAACCGCACCACCATCGCCGACGGCAATACGTGGAACCATGAGCACATCGCGCTGCTCGGCCGCGCCCTCGTGTCCCCGGTCAAGAAGGCCCACAGGATCGTCCGGCACCTGGCCGACTACGTGCTGGTGTGGAGCACGAGGTACGGCAATATGTGGGGCGACGACATCGCCAAGTCTCCTCACATGGCGAGGATAGGAGGGTCAGTGTACAAGGACATCAAGCCTGAGGACTTCTGGCAGGATCAGAGCGGGAAGCCTTCGGACATGATGCGCAAGAGTCTCATCTACCGCACCGTCAACTTCAGGCTCGACCCCTCCATCCCTCAGTTTCCTCCCGACACCTTCGAAGAAGTCTTCACCTCCAAGAACAACATGGTCCGCATCTACAAGGTCCTCCGCGTCTCCGCCAAGTCCAAGGCCTACTGCTCGGAGGGCCGCGGCTACAAGGCCTGGTACTCCGGGAAGCCGCTGCTCGAGGCGTATCCCCCCGGCCTCAAGAAGATCCTCTCGCAGAAGCAAGACTTCAAGCAGCTGGAGGACTTCAACCGCCGTGATGAGGTGGAGGAAGACTGAGAGGAGAGAGAGAGAGAGAGAGAGAGAGAGAGAGACGCGAGCCACACTTGAACATCGCTTCTTATCATATACATCCTCCCTGGACTTTGCTCTCCTTGCCCCTGCTCACCCCAGCTCCACCTGTGCTGCTGTGGGAACGTGTCAACCTTCTCCTCCTCCTCTGCCCCTCCTCCTCAAGCTTCTTCTCACCAGGCTTCACTTGCGCGCATGCTAGCGCCAGGCACATCACTCTGCTGGTGATCGCTTCCCACGAGAACCGCTGGTGCCCCAGTGAGCTATCAAGCACCGAGGAGGGAGAGAAACGAGGAAGAGGACCAGGACCAGGACCAGGACCTGGAAGAGGACGAGGAGAAGTATCGGGGTCTGGGGTCACCTTGGCCATGTCCTGTAGTGGGCGCAGCACTTTCAACAGGAGAGGCTGCTGCGTCAGGAGGCATCCTCCAGCGAGGACGGTCACGGCGAGCAGGAGAGCTGAAGGCTTCTTCGGGGCAAGGGGGGTTTTGGCCGGCAGCTTGACTGGCGGGGCTGGACGAGGATGGAAGCGAGGAGGAGGTTGGCGTCTCTCCATCTCGAGGTACTCGGGTTGAGAAGCAGCGACTGTCAGCCTGCGCGAGGCCTCCTGGTTGCTCGCGTGCCTGATGTAGATCACCAGAGCTGCGACAGGAGCAGGAGCAGGAGCAGGAGCAGGAGCAGGAGCAGGGGCAGGAAGGAACACGATCTATAGAAGGGAAGATGTAGGAGGAGGCAGATGCAGATCACCTGACAGAATCCGTTCGCCGTTTGCTTGCTTGTCCACCTGCAAGGCAGTCAATTGAAACAAGAGAAACTCCTTCAAAGCCAACTTCCCCTCCCCCCCCCCCCCTCCCACCCCCCCAACAATCAGAGCAGCTCCTCCACTCCACTCCTCCTGCCCCCTCCCCTCCTACTGTCAGTCTCGCTGGCTGTCACGTCGCTGAAGTCAAGGTGCTTCTTCGCTTCTGCTGTATCTATCGAGCTAACGCGTCGCTCTAGCACCAACGTCAGTCTCCTTCCCTTCGTCCTCGTCCTCCCCGTCCTCGCACCTGCTGCCTCAAGTCGCTTCTTCAAGGTGTCAACCTCAGACGATAGCATGTAGACATATCTGCTGCACACTCAGTGCTTCCTTGATCGCCTCTCCCTTCCTCTCTACTCAGAGTTTCTGCCGCCATTTTCACCGCAATGTCGATCCTGGTGGACGATCGTCAGCAGCTGCAGCAGCATTATCATCATGTCAATCGCTTCACCTCTAGAGGCTCATCGGCAGAAGCAAGAACACTCTTCTTGCTAGAGAAGGAGGAGGAGAACCTAGACTCGAGCTCCATCCGCTCCTCCTGAGCTTTCTTGTACTGCGACAGCAGCTCCTGCCGCTGTATCAGCAGGTCCCTGGCTCGCCACTGTCTGCTGCCTCTACCTGGATCTTGGCGTCTGCTGGATTTTCCTCCCTCGCGCGCATCGGAGTCGGCATGGAATGTCTCGCGCTCTTCACATCTACTCGTCCATTGGGACTTGTGTTCTCGTCGTCGAGCAGGAAGCACATGCTCTTGGATTTTGACTTGGTCGTGCCTGCCATGTTCTGTCGCAATGAATTTATCAGCATCAGCTCCTCAGCTCTTTGACAACCCACAAGGTCGAAGATCTCTACCTCTACCTCTACCTCTACCTCTACCTCTACCTCTACCTCTACCTCTACCTCTACCTCTACCTCTACCTCTACCTCTACCTCTACCTCTATCTCTACCTCTACCTCTACCTCTACCTCTATCTCTATCTCTACCTCTACCTCTATCTCTACCTCTACCTCTACCTCTATCTCTACCTCTACCTCTACCTCTACCTCTACCTCTACCTCTACCTCTACCTCTACCTCTACCTCTACCTCTTCCTCTTCCTATACCTCCCCCTCTAACATGCATGTCTCTCCTCGTCTCTGCCATGTCGTCTTAGCGTTTGGTTCTGTTTCCCTGCTCCCGGCCCCAGCCATTCGTTACACGCCTTTTTGAACGGCATTTTCCGGTGCAGTACTTGAACTTGTAACGGTATTGCAATTGGTTGTCGCAACCGTTATTTTCAGACCGTGACGGTGGCCCCGGCCCAGTGGGCCACGCCGGCCGCCCCGGCGGCGGGCCGCGGGGCCCGGCGGCCGGTGACCGATCCGACCAACTTGATGTTTCCGCCGTCACGCCGGTGCTGGGGCCCGGCCATAAAGCGCCGGCCGCCGGCAGTGAGCCTGAGTCCCGGTCCGACAAACGCCGGGTCCGACCGGCGTCGACATAGCGTTGTCGCTCTCAACTGACCCCTCTGGTTTCCAATAGTTTTCTGTGGGGGTATCCTTCCACACATGTGAATAGCAAATGGCAGTTGGGGTCTGGGGTGGGTCAGACGGCTGGGAGCTGATTCAAATTGGTTGGGACCTGTTTAAGGGGGTAGGGTACTTCCTGGTAGCAAATAATTGTACCAACAGTACCAATTTAATGGTACATATAGAGTACCATTAGGAAAACTTGTACCAAAATAGTTTATGCGGTACCTCCCCTGTTCAAACTATGATGCTTTGGACCCACCTGTTTCCCAGTGAAAGTGCCTTCTCCGATGGGGTCAAGTTTTGGACCCTACCCTGCCTCCGACCAACATAGACCACCCTTGTAGATCAGAGGGAGCTCTCAAGCCTTGCCCCTTCCCTTCCCTGGTTGCATATCCAAGGTTAGCAAGTGAATGTTACGCAGACGTGACTCATCTGCAGCAGGAGAGCTCAGACGAGGACAAGCAGAGGCAATCCCTGCAGAATCTGGTGTGAGCGCAGCAGTCTGAAAACATCTCTGTGATTGCAAACACATGTAAAGAGGGTTGATCATCATAGATTTTAGCAGCTTGAATAAGGAGTACTCCGCACGGACCGTCCGCTAGTGGCGCTGTACGATGGATGACATTGACTCTCATGAGCAATAAGTAGGAAGTCATGAAGCATGTCACGGAGACAGCATGATCTATACTTATTTCATAGGAATCTGCTGCAAAGAGTCGGGCTTGAGGGCGGTCTGAGCAATATGCAAGAGTATTGCCAAGGCATGTAAAGAGTTTCAAGGAATACCAGTGCATTCATCAAATGGCAGTGATGAGGTACCACATGAAGGCATGACTTGCAAATTGATTGCATGTCGTGTTCCATTTGATGACTTACAATCAAGACGCTTTTGAGCGACAAAACGATACCCCGTATAGCATTGTAAATCATAGTTCATTTCCTTCACCTCGAGTCGAAGCAAGAAATTTTCAAGGTGCTGATATCTTTGTTTTGACTAGACTGACATGGTATCAGGAGCAGTTAATTGATGTTAGATCCGATTGAATCATGCAGACGAAAATGGACATACCCTTTTGAATAAATCTTTCTTCTCGAGTCTCATACCAGAGCTTTCTTGCCTCTTTCTTTGTAACCTAACATGTACAAAGCATTGGCATTTTCTTACACAAAGTAAACTGAGCCTGAACAGCTTCTCTTATTCGCTGCATTCTCGCCCTTCCATCATCCTGATCTTTTCCTTGACACCCTTGGGCCAATGCGAGTTGCATGCTGCGATATCATCAATTGTTTGGAACCAAGCGATAAGTGGAACAAAGCGCTCAGGTGCTATGCAGGCTGCAATGCATCGCCGGCATTCCAACCATATGGATAAGTTTGCCAAACTTTGCGCTGCTCATATTACTTGCAGCGAAAGTCAACCATTCCAGATGATAAGGACAATGTATGAGACTTGCGCAGAAGAATGTGCAAACACTTCCACACGACGGTGAGTGTGCACGATTCCACATACACAAGAATGCTGCGCAGAAGCATCTACCAATTTCTTGTCTAACCACTCTTTTGATGAATGAGCATCGACTTCTCTAACATGTACATCAGGTCATGCAGGCTCATGGAGAAATGATGATGTTGTTAGCAACAACTTGGCTTTGTTTTATTGAAGTACGTTGAAAACATCACCTAGGCCGCTACATATTCCCATGTCCGCTTTGCAACAGTTCTAAACCACGTATCACCATAAAGTTGTACATCATTCGACTAGTCCGATAACATCTTCATGTAGAGCCTCAGTTTCAAGCACAACGCGGTTTGGAGCGATACTGTGACTTGTTTGCCTGGTATGATTACATGTGACATGCTCTCTTACACAATTGAAGAGTATTGTAAAAATTTCAGTCAAGCGGTGCACAGTTCAGCCTTTCTTTCTTACTATTCATCAAACATAGTGTATCAGACAGATGTCATCGTGTGGATCGACGCAAAATAAAGATGAACTCGAAGTTCTGTCTGAAAAATGACCCTTTGCAAGTACTGATGGATCGAGAGCAAGTTCTTGATGCTGTATCATTAAGAAGTAAAATGACAGTCATTTGCCAGTACTATACGACTCGTATCCATCAGCTTAAAATATGCACACCTGAGTTTCATTCCATGAATCATCTTTCCTCCCGCATTCAAACTGAGAAACTCAGTGCTAGTCAACTCATGGGCATGGTTTCAGAGTTTGAATTCCCAGCAAGTTGAGGAAGGACAAGGCAGACAGAAGCGTGAAAGAAAGTTGAGGGTCATCAGGGAAGGTCTGACGAGAGTCTGAGACTCATGGACAGGGAAGGATAGGGATGCGCAAGTGTGGAGGGCAGGGAGATGGGGAGGGAGACACCCTCTGCTAAATGTATTTTAAAAGGTACCCATTACAGTACCAGACCAAGACCTGTACCCCCCACCCCCCTGTCGCGTCCGTTGGGTTCGAATATTTGAAATACTACCACGCCTACCCATCAGGTTCTGGTACAAATCATTACTTCACTATACAAGCGCTATGTGACCCTATCCAAAGACAAATAGGAACGATTGTTTACTTATCTAAGCTCTCAATTACCCCCGGTTGCCGTTGAACTTGCAGCGCTGGAAATGGATTTTCAAACCTTCCAATCCTTGGATTTTTTACTCACACACAATTTTGTACTGGAAAACGCCTGGATCTGGTACAAATCCCAATTGTCAGCAAGTTCCTTGACCCGACAACGCATTGACCGCCCGGCCCGCCGGGCCGGTCGCCGTCACGGTCCCGGCCGCGGGCCCGGCCGGGGCGGCCCGCACTGGCGTTGCCACCCCGGGTGGGCCGGCGGGGGCGGACAGCGGCCGAGCCGCAGAGCGGCGCGGCCCGCACTCACAGGGCGGTAGCCGGGCCCGCCCGGCACTGCCGGCCGCATTCAAGTTCCCGGCTGCCCCGGCAGGCGGCCTGGCACTGACCACTCAGTCAGTGGTAAGTGGCACCGTCCCGCACGGGTGACCGTCAATGTACCGGCTGGCGCTGCCGGTCCCGGGTCCGAGCCTCGGAGTCCGGCGCGGCCGCGCGACTGAGGTCACGATAACCGTTGAACTTCGGAACGCCGGGCCCGGCCCGGGGCTTGCCAGAACTTTCATGTAACCAATATGTAACGATCAATGTAACGGTTCACGTTCGCTAGTTATTAGTTGTCCGAAGACAATGGCGCCCTTGCAGGTGCGACAGCGACGACAAAAGACAAACAATGACAACCCCTGCTGCTCCTCTTACCGCTGCTGCTGCTGATACTCCTTCTCCTCCTCCTCCTTCTCCTCCTTCTCCTCCTCCTCCTCTTACCACTGCTGCTGCTGCTGCTGCTGCTGCTGCTCCTCCTCCTCCTCCTCCTCCTCCTCCTCTTACCGCCGCTGCTGCTGCTGCTGGTCCTCCTCCTCCTCCTCCTCCTCCTCTTACCACTGCTGCTGCTGCTGCTGCTGCTGCTGCTGCTGCTATTGCTCCTCCTCTTACCGCTGCTGCTGCTACTGCTGCTACTGCTCCTCCTCCTCCTCTTACCGCTACTCCATTTCCTCCTTCCCATCTTCATGCTCCTCCTCCTCTCATGCTCCTCCCATCCATATCCTCCTCCTGTCCTCCCCCTCATGTTCCCCCGCTCTTTCTCCTCCTCCTCCTCCTCCTCCTCCTCCTCCTCCTCCTCCTCCTCCTCCTCCTCCTCCTCCTCCTGTCCTCCTCCTTCCTTTTGTATTCCTTGCCCTTTCCCCCTTCCCCCTCAATTCTCTCTTCTGCTTATCCACTTCAGCACAGCGGGGTATCACCACCGTCTCTTCATCTTTGACATCTCAGCTTTCTGCGTCTGATCTTCGCTTGTCAGGCGATCGCTGCTGCTTGTGTCAGCGGAGCTGTCGGTCTCGGCATCGGGTGATCGCGTCTTGTCCAGTCTAGCTGCCTCTGAGCTGCCTGTGCTCACAGGTACTCCCTCAAGCTGCGGTCAGCTGGCTGCGACAACAACGCGCTTGTTCCCAGCATGCTCATCACAGGTGAAGCAAGAGAGCTCAACGAGCCCAGCTCTCAGCTGAGGCAGCGCTTGGCAAGGACATGCTGGTCTGACTTGAACGCCATGCAGGCACACCGTCGCGACCGGCGTCTGATTTTCTCATCACTGGAGCCCCAACCCTCCCAGCCAACCTGCCGACTGCTGTCGCTGCTCTGTGAGGCGGCAGGAGGCACCTAGAGACGAGATGCTGAGACAAAAGGCTGCAGGCAGTGGGCGGGATGGCCGGGCTTTGACAACATCAAGTTCCGGCAGGGCTACGTGGTGGGGGCATGAGAGCTGGGGGTGTCGAAGCCTCACGCACTCTCAGACCTCCTTCAACCGTCAGACTCGAAACCCCAACTGGGTCTGCGAGCATCTCTGCGAGGTCTCGAGGCTGCCAAGCCGGTCGGGGAGTCTGAAATGTTCGAGCAGGAGACACTCCGAGGCGAGGGGAGCCGAGCTAAGGTGACGCCCGTGCGCGGGTTTATGTCCAGTGATCCTCCTCCCCGCAGACCGAGAACTTCCAGGAGGATGAGACTGACCCCCCGCACTTGCGCTCTCGTCTCGCGGACTACAAGGGTTCATCCCTCCACCTCCCTCCTCGCATGACTGCAGCCTGCAGGCAGCGGCTTCGACCGAGGACATCTGGTCGCGGCGGCGGACGTGAAATTCTCGTAACCGTCTCCTCCTCATGGCTCCTCTGACCCCGCGCACAGACAGAATGCGCTGGATGAAACTTTTCTCCTCTCCAACATCTCCCCACAGGTTTCGCCCTCCTCCTCCTCCTCCTCCTCCTCCTCCTCTCATGCTCCTCGTCCTCATCCCTTACTCGTGAGGCTGTCAGGTTGGAGCAGGCTTCAACCGGGGTTACTGGGAGCGCATGGAGCGATGGTGCCGCAACCTTGTGAGAGAGGAGGAAGGGGAGGCTCAGGAGGCTGAGGAGGGAGCAGGTCAAGAAGGGGGAGTTCTCGGATGTCTTTGTTATCAGCGGTCCTCTCTTTCTCCCCAAGAAGGAAGCGGATGGCAACTACTACATGCAGCATCAGGTCGCCCCCCTCCTCCTCCTCCTCCTCACATTTCTCATCCTCCTGTCAGGTGCTTGGCAACCCTCCGTCTCTTCAAGTCCCCACGCACTTCTTCAAGGTTTCGCTCCTCCCGCTGTCCCGCGCTGACAGCCGCAGGTCATCATGGCACTTCCCACCAGGAGCGCTCAGGCCAGCTTGACCCCAGCAGCTGCTCCGACGAAAACTGGTGCTTGGACATGACTTGACCCTCCGTGACTGACAGATTTCAGACCCCAACGCCTCTGCTCTCGTGCCATGTAAGCCATTGCCCTCCCCTCCCCTCCCTCCCCTCATCCCTTCCAGTGGGTCGCACACCTGCCAAGCCCATCGCTCTCGGAGCCTTCGTGGTCCCTAATGAGGTTCCCTCCCCTCGCTCCCCCATCTCCTCTTTCCCCCTCACTTTCTCCTCCCTTCCCCCAGTCCTCATCCTTGTAGCTTGCGATGGCTGAGGCTACTCAGGTCATCGACGACAAGGATGATCTATCCAAGTATTCTTATCCCATCGAGATCGTCGAGAGGCTTGCAGGCTTGCAGGCAAGCTACGGAGCTTTAGAGCATCTCAGCTTCTTCTCATGTTCCTCTCTTGCAGTTTTTCCAGCGGCTGCCCCGTCAGAACACTAAGTTCATCAAACCTCTCTGTGAGAGGTACGACCCTCCTCCCCTCCTCTCCTCCTTTGAGTCAACCCTCCAGCACCAAGTGCGTCCTACCAGCCGGCTTCCAGCTACAGGACGGCAAGTAAGTGAAGACCCCAGCTGGACTAGACGCTTCGTTGACTTGCTGATCCAGAGACAAGCAGCCCAAGGTCATCACCGTCAAGTGAATGATCTCCTCCTCCCACTACCAGAGTTACCGCACAGAGGCAGCTGCATCTCAGCATAGAACGATTGAGTAGATCAACGCGACGACGAGATGACGTTGGCAAACCTTTACTACAAGTGCTGCACTTGACAAGAACCTCACATGGGAATGCTGGGGGGTAGCGAGAGGGAGAAGGGAACGAAGAAAAACGAGTCAAACGAGGGAAGGAGAAGGCACAAGTCAAGTACCTCTGAATCACAGAACGAGCGAAGTTCCTGAGGGCATGCGAAGTGATGGACTTGAGGAGAGCTACTCTGTCTTGAACCAGCTCGACAGCCTCACTGAGTTTCGCTTCCACCTTCCCCTCGTGCTGTCCTCCCGTCACATGCCAGCAGCAGCCTGTCTCTCCTCTCGCTCACCGTCCTCGCCAGCGGCTTGAGCCACTTGTTGTAGATCTGGGACGTGGTCAGTCACGCCTCGGAGAGCTCCTCTCACCGCTCGAGCGCCCTCGTTGTGCATCCAGACCAGCAGAACCACCTGCAACGCGCCTCAGCCCCCATCCTTCTCTCTCCTCCCCGCCACGCGCTCCTGCTCTGAGACTCGCCTCTTCTCTCCTCCTCCCCCTCCCCCTCCTCCTCCTGACCTTCACGGCGTAGTAGTGGGGGATGTTCCATCGCCAGGGCATTACCACCCCCTCCACGAGCTGCAGGCAGCAACATTTTCAGAGGACGGAGATAGGATGGCGATAGGAAAGAGAATGAAGATGAGAGGAAGGAGATATTTACCTGGAGCAGGGCAAAGCAGGTCCAGTACGTGAGCAGCCGAGCCTGCAGCAGCTCTCCGCTGCTCCAACATGAGGAGAGAAAGAAACGTAATGGGCTCGCACCCGGGCTGCTTGCTCTGGTTCAAGGCCTTGAGGCTGTAGTAGGTGGGATACGCGAGCCCGACGATGTTGCCTGGAGCATGCGAGTGAGCTAGGGGGGGCGCAGCTGCAGGAGACGCACCTGCGATGATTGCGAGCTGCCCTGACAGCAGGCAAAGTCCGGTGATAACTCCAGCGATCACCCAGTAGGCACTGGTTGCGTCAGCAGCACGCTGTGACGAGGAGGAAGCGGCTGGAACATTCGCCTCTCCTGGCACGCAGTCACTCTCATGAAGCGCATGGTAGCTGATCGCCTACCGGACTGCGCCTTGCTGCCTCCTTCACTGTTTCCCCCCCTCAATGTCATCATCTGCCTCCGTTCTAAGACACAGACAGGGGAGGACAAGACCATCAGGCGCCTTCACCTGCTTCTGTCCGATGCTCTTGGGCAGCAGAGGTCTGGGAACCCTCGCGCTCCCGAGAGCCTCCACAGTCGTCATGCAGCCCAGCCCGGCCAAGATTAGCCACCTGAACTTCAGCCCACAGCCTCCTCCTTCCTTATGCAACTCTGCTCTTCGGGGGAGCCTCAGGTTTTCCAGTCCTCCCCCTCCTCTCCTCTCCTCCTCGCTCCTCTCCTCCCCTCCTCCTCCCTTCCCCTCCCCCTCTGTTCGCATCCCGTCGCGCCTCATGCTGAGCTCCTGCAACCCATTCGAACTAAAATAATTATAAATATTTCATCCCCCTCATATCTCCGTACCCTCATCCCCTACTAGTCCCAACTCCTCGGTGAGTTGGCAGCTGCGGAGCCGGGCGCCGGGTGCCGGAGGGCCCGGCCCTCATCCCTCACATCTATGACCCCTACCACCCCCTCACATTCCATTCCAGGCCCAGCAGGGGTGGTACCTGACCCCTTAGTTAAGCCCTCTTCCCATTGATAAATGATCACCCCTTATTTTTACCTGATGTACCCCCATATTTCTATTGGGGGTGGTCGGTCCCCATTGCTACCACCCCTCCTTGGATAGGCTGATGGTGGCGGCCTCCCCTTCCCTACCCCCTATGCAATACTTGGTACCCCCACCCCTATCATTTATTTTGACACCCCCCTTTTCTATTCATTTCATTTATGCAATGACGGGTAATAAGAAATACCCCACCTCATATTCCGACGCCGCACTGACCACCCACCCCCCCTTAGCCTCAACCCCTTGGCATCCCCGCACTCGCTCCAGTCATGCTCTCGTCTGCGCTGAGGTAAGCAAGAGGAGGAGAGGAGAGGAGAGGAGGAACGGGAAGAGCTCGAGCAGAGGGAGAAGATGCAAAGAGACAGACGTGCATCAGGCTGTACTCAACACGAGAAGAAGATGGCTGGAGGATGTGAGAGAGGATCAGGTGTTGATGACGGCAGGAGCAAGCGTGGAAAGGATGAAAAGGTTAGTTTGTTTAGAGGTAGTTGTTATCTGTTGTGTTAGAGTGTTAGTTAGGCATACGTTAGATTGTACACTGGAATATAGCAAGAAGCACACTAGGGGTGAAACAAGGCGAAGAGAACAGGAGGACATCTGACTGCACATGCTCCTCCTCGTCGCAGGCCGATGCAACCAGCCATGAAGAACGTCTTGTCCATCGCTCCCGCTATGGCGCGAGGCCTCAAGTGACTCTCGGCCTGAGGAGGCACGCTGAGCGATGACGATGCGGCAGGACCCCCAGCTCGAGCACCAAGAAGCTCTGGGATGGCAAGAAATCTGCCGAGTATCCCGTGCATGTAAAGACGATTGGGAGCTTGTCGCGTCAGCAGGTGACATGTAGCTATGCCGGTCACAAATGATGCGAGTGCTTCAGATCCTCAAAGTGATGGAGCTCGCCAAGGTCTGCCTCCTCCTTAACCACCACCACCTCCTCCTCCTCCTCCTCGTTTTCCTCTCCCCGTTGCCCCTTGACTTCTCCTTTCTCCTCAGAACATGAAGGCTGACCCTCACGCCTACACCTCCGCCCTCAAGAACAGGTTGACCCCCTCCCTCTCTCCCCTCACGCGCCTGTGACCCGTTGACCCCAGGACTCTCCTCGCGCTCTTTGAGAAGCCCTCCCTGAGAACCAGAGTATACCCCTTGCTCCTCCTCCTCCTCCTCCTCCTCCTCCTCCTCC